TTACTTCTTCTGCCAGCAGATTTGAAATTGGAAAGAGTGGACCGTTGTTCTTTTGTAACAAAATCAAGTTCGTCATCCTCAGATCCAGAGAACGATGTATTCTTACGAATTGACCGGTATGGTTCACTTCTTTGAGAAGCTGTTCTGTGATTGGCGTACCTTTCATCATCACTGCCTTCGATATCTTCTGACTCTGACAACTTTTCATCTTCTGAGAAATTACTTTTAGATGTTTCCATCCTTCTACTACTATTTGGAGTAGTTTCTAGCTCATAACTATCAACATCATCCTCCTCCTCAAAATCATCAAACCCTATTCCAGGCTTATAAATATCACGATTAGCATATTCTCCATCAGGGGATCCTCTTACTCCGTTGTTCTTCTCAAGATTATCTTCCCACCCCTTATGATTTCCATGTTGAGTATTATTACCTGAAGAGAAATCTTCATTTAAGGCATGAGTATCTGCATACTCAAAAGCAGCAACATCCGCACCATCTGATTCATTGTCATCAAAGTCAAAATTCCAGGCATTGGAAATCTCTTGTCGGCTACCCATCTTATCTAACTTAGGTTTGAAACCCTGTATCCTATCTTGCATCTTATTTTCCAGAAATTCATCAGGTGGGCGCTTACATTCACAATGAAAACATACCATGTTTCTCCTGTAATTCAAGAAGTTGCATCTGCCAGACAAGAGATAAACAAGTCAAGCTAAAAACCTTTCAGCAATAGAAGCTTCAGGGCTCAACATCAGCGTTACAAAAGTTTGGTATACATAATTTTGCATGCTATTAGTGTTAATCATATCCCAACATCATGCTTCACACACTGAGCTTTAATATGATCACTACAATTAGGGATGACCCTCACAATATCGTAGTATCTACACACTACCCGTATGAAAAATACCCGTAAGTATTTATAGATATTTCTGGATTTTGTTTTAATTTTAAATAAGATTACTTAAAAATAATTGTTTAAAATAAAATCAAATAAAAATTAGACCTTAAAGTATAATCCAAATAAATTTGCATAACAAAATATTAAAAAATTAAAATTAGTCTTTCCAAAAAACAATTAAAAAAATTATACTGCAAAGTATAAACTCAAATGAAAGTAATTTATTTTAAAATAAATTTAATTCCATAAGTATATATAAATAAAAACATAAACTTATAAAATCAAATTCTAAACAGTTCTTAAACTTTTAATGTTTCTTTACCAATAACTTTGTTTTGGTCACTTCATTCTTAAAAAAAATATTCATATAAAAATCTCCATCAGTGGGCAGTGAGTATCTATAGTTTGGATACCATGATAACTATACTAATCCAGTTAACAAACGGACAAATAAAATACTCGTATCCATTACATGTACCCATTAGGTATCCATTGCAAATTTTACTTGCTAAATATGTGACCTTAAATTCTTTTGTCATCCCTAATTATAATTGCCAGCTATTCATGAGCACACACTTGTAACAGAAAGAAAGAAACAGGGGGGAGAAGGGCTGTAACAGTGAAGGTTAATGGTAAAATTGAAGGACTTTAAACTTACTCAGTACACTCCCATTCTCCTGGCAGCAACTGTCTCTTGGGACGCTTGGCATCACACTGTAAGCAAGCAGTATTCTTCGCAAAATTCATGAATTCACACCTAAGAAGTAGTATGGTAAGTAAACAGCAGGGAAATAAAAAACTATACGGTGATGTCATCCAATAATGACTTATCCATGCACCATTTATTTCCTAGAATAATCCAATACATCGAATTACCAGAAGAAGGAAGGGAAAAAAGAAAAATTGACTATCGACAGCTATCAGTTAGCCCAAAAATAAAGGCACTCTGATAAAAAAGGAGTACCAAGCATAATAAATTTGTTAAAACAATGTTTTCAAATTGAAATTCACTTGAAACTGACAGCGGCCACTGGTCAGTTGGAAAACTGTGATTGTTATAGCAAAGTAAACAGAGAGATTCAGGGACATACTTGGGACATAGCCAGTCACCTTTCTTCATCTCAACATCATCCCGTCCTATTCGTCTCTTTGGAGGCGGAGGTGGTTGTTTCACTTTTGGTGGTGGTTTTTTAATCACAGGAGGGGGGAGATTTGGATCAATGGGAACCGAACTCAGCTTGACAACCTCATGAAGCAATTTCCGAACCACTGTTTTCACAGACTTCTGCTTAAGAAGTGACTTGTTGATGACTGAACCATCAACAGGATCAAAACCAAAAGTGAGCAGGAGCCGCATGACATCAAGAGTCCGTGCTTCATCCTCTTTGTTTGTTAGCAGATATGCCCGTTCACAACTGTTTCTCAAGCTGCAGGAACTACAGACCTGATATCAATGAATTTCTCATCAAAATTATACAAAATATGTATTTAATCTTCAGTAACGTGTTATGGATTAAACAATGAGACCAACTAAGAGATGGTAAAGGGGATCTAACAAAGAAAAAAGTAGCACGTATGCATGAGTAGGAGAGGGATAAAAAGAATGCCAGCAGAGAAAAAGGAGTTTCTTTGCTGCCAACGACAAATACAGGCACACAGATACAAATTTAAATATCTAGTGTCGGTTGAATGGCCTAAATCATAACTTCTCTTCACTTACAAATGAATATGGAATAAGAACTCAAACAAAGAAACTTTCCACATTCACAATTCACACAACAATTACAAAAAATTGGCACCAAACAAATAATGCTATACTTACATCTCCTTCGTCAAGGTGAGCATGCTTTCTTAAAAGTTTTGCAGAGAAAACCACCTTTCTGTCCATAGTGGGGCATCCATAACCAACCAAAACTTGAATATCCTTCCTCGACAAGGACCTGAAATCAATCATCTAAGGTTTCATCATTGAAGCGCATAAAATCTTCCCATAGACATATTCCTCAACAAAACAAAGCCATAAGTAATAACTACAATATCACCAATAGCATAATGCGTTTGTAAAATGTCAATTAATCAGAAATTGCCTCGAAAAGCAATATCACTGGCTTTTACAATGACTATCTTAAAAGTCATTTCCAAAATTTTATTAGTTAACAATGTAAAACCTTAAACCATTATTGTCACTCTGTTGCATAACCAAACCCATCCAATCACTAAAACGAGTTCAACACTCTCAGCTGCACAAACCTCAATATATCAAAACGGTCTCTTCCGTGATTGAGACACGCCATGTGAACGCTCTTGAAATCCTTGGTGAAATCAAATCCTTCAGCAACCACAGGCGGATTGAACCCTGAGTCGAGGACCATTTTATCCTCGTCCATCCTTCTGTGGTCGAAGTAATTCTGGTGCACGAGCATTTCCATCAACTGGATCCACTCGGGCCATGGGTGAACCAGCTCCACTGCCTTCTTGGGCGGCGGCTCCGGGGGTGTTTCATCGGCAAGAGAGAGCGGCGGCTCAGGTTGGGCGTCGTTTTGAGGGGGAGCGTCCTTGGATTGGCGCCAGGCTCGAATGCGCTGAAGCGTTTCGTGCTTCTGAGAACGCTCTTTCTCGATGGCATCGATCTGATCGAAGACGAAACTGAGACGGGCGGAGAGGGAAGAAGGTTTGGGATCAGGATTAGGGTCTGGTGGGGTTGTAGAGAAAGGTTTGGCGAGAAGGTGAAAGAATGAAGAAAAGGGTCTATGGTGTAGAGAAGAAGATAGATGGAGGCGCCTGGTTAGTAGAAGAGAGAACGCACCATAACCATAACCATAACCCATTACTTAGACCGCAACAGTGTTGTGTTTGAGGGACTATGATAGTATCGCATTCCCCTTTAAACTTAAAACCTCCATGGATACTGTCACAAACCTTAAACCCTACAACTTTGTACCATAGTGTTAGATTGCACCAAGCCTCTCAACTCTATATTTTCTCTTTTTATTTCCCCCCTTTTTAGTTTTTATAACCTAAAGAAATTAAAAATTAAGGATATTAAATATTACCTGAATAACATTTTTATAATTTTATTTTAATTACCTCTAATATTAGTTTGACCACAATTGTGCACACGAATTATAGATTAACGTGCGTGATAATATTGAGACCAAGAGTTTTGAAATTAATAATTTTATGAGTAACTTTAGAATGCACAATTAAAATTATTTCGTTAGAGTTTACTATAATAGTTTGTTAACTTCTTAATTGTTAAACTTAACTATTTTATCTCAAATCCAAGTAACAAGAATATAATAAACATTTAAAATTAAAAAATAATACAGCTGATAATTTACATTTTGAAGCCATTTATATTTGTCCGTTTCTACTTAAATATTTTAGGATCCTTTTGTTGCCAAAATAAGTAAATAACACATTTGTTAACTTTTTAAATCAAATCTAGAATTCTGGTTTCAATTTTAACAACTGAGAAATTATGAGAACTAAATATAAACAATTAGAATTAAGAAACTAAGTTACACAATAAATCAGTATAACTTTCTTTATATGCAGTATCAAATAAAGATTTTTTCTCTAAAATTGGTTGATTATAAACAAAATACTAGAATGAAAAATCATTTTATGCTTTTGTCCAACAATTTCTTTTTAATGATAATTTTAATTTTAACACACTATAAACGTAAAACAAATATATCATTAACTACTCATCATGCACATCACTTCATATGTAAATGATGTCAAAAAGATATTTCAGTATTTATACATTTTAATTAAATTCTTAAGCAATGCAGATAGCTTGTCTTTTTAGAAAAAGGTTACCAAAACATTTCACAAATTTCAGAACTAAATTTTCAGAGAAAATGTTATTTTTAAGGAAAAGAAATATCAAAAACGGGATTTTTACCAAACCAATGCAATTCCTATAATAAATTACGTAAATGGTCCAAATTTAAAAAAATTTACAATAGATAAGAGATGACAACATAACTCAACTTCATAGCGAGAAAAAACTTGTTAGCATGGCTTACTCATTTTTGTAAATTTTTTAAAATTTGCACTATTTTTAATAATTTTTTTTGTAGGATTACACTATTTTGGTAAAAAATCCTATAAAAAACACAGTCTATGATTGTGTGCAGGATGCTGAGCACGTCATCCAAGAATATACACACTATGCTTTGACGAAAGAAAATTGTAAAACAAATTGCAGGGGGATTAACTTAACTTTACACCTGATTAATTACATTACAGAATTATACAAATTTGATTCGTTCTATCGAAAAATGGAGATATTTTTACCATTTTGTACAGGAATGTCACCTTACCAAGCAAAACACTTTTTCAGAACCATTCCACTCTGCATCTCGGGTACAAGTCTTTATCTGCAGCAACATGGGTGGCAGCTAGCAGTTCTTTCTGAACCTTTCGCCTCTCAAAGAACACCAAACATGAAATGGACGTGCATTTCACACCACTTTCAAGAAGCCTATCCCCGCCTCCACAATGGTGACATATCTACCAGAGTTTTAAAAATATAACTATCAACAGAGCAACAAGAGAAAAAGCATCACAAAGCATCAAATCTAAGGGATTTACAGAAAGTAACAAGGTGTTTCTTTGATAGCAGAAGTGGAAAATCAACAGAAAGCTGCAAACTAATCCAAGTACATAGACAGCTTATCATACTTAAGCAAATTTCCCCCCACGCGTGGAATGACAAACAATCCCATTATCAAAAGAGAGAGTTAGACACAATCTCTAGAAAATACTTTTAACACAATGAACAATAGATGAAAAAAACATGCAAATATACTTACAGAAACAAGATGTTGCATCGCTTGCTCTAACTTCGAAGTCTTACTAATTACTGCTGTTGCAGCAGCTACCTCATTTTCTGAACATTGATTGCATAAATGGGCTGATGCCTGGGCCAACCTACCACATAATACACAATGTTTTGAAAGATAGTAATAATCAATTCTGGTTCGATGGGAATTTGAAGTTAATTTATGCTTTGCAGAAGCTTCCCTTGTGGGACGAGGCATCTCTGAAAACCAATGGTTGAGGTCAGCAGCAACAAGCCCAAATACCCGTTGTAAAGCTGGTGTTATTTGTTTATTAATATAATATAAATCATTTATTCTATACGGGGAATCAATTGCCAAAACTTCCAAGGGATCCACAACCATATCAACCAAACGGGCTCCAGGCTCCCCATGGATTACAACATAGGGTATTCTCTCAGCATAACGTGGTTCTGCCCTGCGGTCAACCGTCATTGCCTTAGTGGCCACAATTGCAGCAGGAGGAAGTGATGACATTCTTGACCTGTAGGTACCCAACCGAACCTCCTTCGCAAAGATAAAATCTTTAAAGCAGAATTTTCCCGAAAGAATCCTCTTCCACTGACGTTGCAAATAAGTCTTCACCTGCAGATAGCAAATAAAAAGTATTAACCATTGTTGACATTTAGAATAGAATATTCTACATTTATTGTGTATGGTTTATAGGCAACAAAATTTCAGGTCTAGAGGAAACTATATATCCTCTAATCATTTTTATTTAATGTATTAAGCCTATATACACCCATAACTTGCATCCTCAAACATGGGTTTTCTATCTATCATGTCTCTGCTTTTCCTTTCACTTTAACAAACATGAATTCAGACGAAACAAATATTGTAACTGATAGGATATAATATGATAGGTTATAATGGGTAATAGGTGGCAGGAGAGAGAAAACAGTTGAAGAATTAATTGTTCAGTTTAGGAATTAATTGTTGTTGGGTAGTTAGAAGTGGGTTGCCTTTATAAGAAGGCAAGGGGGGTCTAGTAGAGGGGGGAGTTTTTGATATCAATTGTATAGACAGGAACCTTGATCCTGGGGAGGGGGATTATGCTCCCAGTTACTGGTTGTACATGACATTGGTTGATGTGAATGCATATTTTCATTCTTTTCTTACCATTTGGGTGCTATTGTGTGAGTGTGTGTTGTGAGACAGTTAGGTTTCATACCCAGAAACCTAACACTAACTTTCATATCAGATGAAGTATCCAGCACAAATAGTTGGAATTCTACTATATCCTTATACCATTTGTTCTAACAAAGACATTGCTTGTACAAAGGATCTAGAATATTGGCTTTCCACCAAGACAGTTTCTATTACAATATTGTCACAAAAATATAAAATAAAATCAGGATAAGTGAACCAAGCATCTTAATTATGCAGCAGAAAACAGCGTGGACATATACACGAGCATCAATTGCACCAGATTCACACTATGTAGTAGCCAAAAAATTGGAATAAATTATAATGGAATGCAACTCATTGAAACTGCAACTCACAAAATTTGGCCACAAGTAACAGGCTTAATATCTAGGGTCCAGCATAAAAGACAACAAAATAGAGGAAGATGTAAACCATAAAATTCAAGTAGGATGAATGAGATGAGAGAGTGCCTCAACTTGTGAAAAAAAAAAGAGATTTTAGTATGTGATAACAATAATCAGGGTAGCTAATAGCTATAGTCTTTGTATTTTATGACCCGTAATATACAATAGTCTCCACTGTGCAATTGATACAGGGAATTCATCACATTTTTCTCATTTTCTCTCCCTATAACAAATTTTAAACGACTATTACTTTCAGTGTGATGTATATATAAAAGGCTTAATCTGCTAGCATTTATACCTCCAATAAATCCTTTTGCTGAAAAAAGAGTCTCAAAGACTTCTCCAGTATCTTTGCAACTGCACCACATGTGTCCCTGCGAACTGTCTCAATACCTTTGGCATCAAAAACAGGTTCCATTTGATGAGGACTTTCATAACTGTAGCCAACATATCGTTTCTTAGTAAGAAGGAAACATGGGTGATAAACTTTCTCCATCTTCAAGGAGACAGGGTTTGGATTCATAGCAGAGATGGCAGAGGCAATCTCATTCCCAATTTGGAAAGACTCTTTCAAAGTGCGTCCTTTAAGAAGGACAAACATACTGCAGAAAATACAATCACTTAATTAATTTTTTTAATTATAGCCCTGCCACCTTACTAATCTTGAAGGAAGGAAATGGTACTACGGTAAAAAGTAGCCATTGGCTATCTTTCATTGTTTCAGAACCCAACCAACTGTATGTAAATGCTGTTGGAAGTAAAAAATTGAAAATGAGGATCAGGAAACCTCCAAAATAAGAGACCTGGGTATGCCATAGGCAAATCTCAGGAGACAATAATACATTTTACTCTAATTACACATGGTATGTAGTTACCTATCAGTATCTCCATAAATAACTCTAGCATTCCACTTTTCATGTTGATTTACAAATGATATAGCCTTTTCCAGTGTACTACGACCACACTGAACAATACTGTCTGCAAGTTCTGCACAGGGCATGCGACCACTAAATCCAGCAGCAGTGTAACCATACGTTACATTCGCTATGAGCTTCAAAGCAAGCTGTCTCGCATTAAATATCTGAAAAGATAATTATATTACTGAGTAAATACTATTTAAGTCTTTTAAATTAAGCAAATAAAAGAATCATTCCTTACATCACAAATAGCAGATATAAGTAAATTCATGAACTAAAAAACATTTAGCATGCATTCAGTTGGAATATTTTATAAAATTTCTCAATTTCATTTTTTTTTTCAAAAAATAATTGGAGGATTTCAGAAAATCCTCCCGACTACAAGAATCACAATTTAGTGTTTTCTTTTGTACAGTATAAGCAATAAATATAACAAAATAAAACAAAAGAACATAGATTCTTGATATTTGTACTCAAACAAACATTGGGCACAATGAAAAGGAATTCAAATCCATACCCGCTGAAGAACTTTCTCTGCAGGAGCCAATTTTTTTATTGCTTGTTTTACCATAATTCTAGTAGTCAATATTTCTTCCAATAAGCGGGGCAGTATACCTCTTCGAACCTGTATGAGTATGCACAGCACAGTACAGATTATAGTCATCCTTTCGACAGGAGTTACTTACAAGAATAATGAAACATCTTCTGGCTAAAAAGATACAGTTTGTTGTACAGAGCAATGGAAATAATTAGTACTAGATGAAAGAAAATGCTGTGCATATGGTCTTTGGGATATGGAAAGTGATTAGTTAAACAGAAACTATGCACATAATTTTTAGAAATTAAAAGTTCAGCAAATATAAGCCATTCATTCAGCTCCATTAATATTAAGTTCAAGAATCCTTCATCTGTATGTGCACAATGAATTACGTAGGAGAGATGGAAGACTATTAGGTTTCTGGATGTGAAACTGTTAGGTTACTTTATGCAAGTAACCTAAATCTATGCTCTCTTCTCACTCAAACACTAGAACAACAGAAATGAAAGTATGTATGTATGTATTATTGTTTCTGTAGAGTATAGAAAATTACAAGTGTAGTCTCCCCCAAAGAAGCCTATCTTCCTCCACTGGCAAATATGTCTAGTCTATACTCAATGAATTCCCTCCCTGAATAGAAATCAAAGAAGATTATTTATAGTGCCGCATTATAATATCTCATTCCCACATTCCTTCCCAACTGAAACAACCGTTCGGCCTTTAACGGTTAATATCATTCGGTCTAGCTTTCCTCAGCCTTTCTTCTTCTCTCCGTTTAGCTAGCGTTTGGCCTCTCTTCCCCACCGTTCAGTATTAGCATATATAACGTTCGGCCCTTACTTCTCTTCTCTTACCCGTTCGGCCCTTACTTCTCTCCTCTTACCGTTTGACCCTTACTTCTCTCCTATTTTATTCCTGTTAGATGTTAAGTTGTGTGTTTATGTTAATTGGGCTTAGCCCATTATGTATTTAGGGTTTAACCCTTATCTTACATTATAAATAAACTACCCTATGTGTATGCTAAACACATAAGGGAGATTTCTCCTAATCTTCTCTACTATTTCACATGGTATCTAGAGCTTAGGTTTTGTTCCAGCCAGTTCCACAGTCTCCGGTACCCATCGCCGCCGCCGTTGCCGCTGCTGTCGCCGCCACCGTCGCCGGAGTTCCAGAATCGATCGACGACCACACCATCGAAATCGTCTCGGTCGGGCGACCACCATGGTACAAAGATCGCGGTGAACGGACCACCCACGCGCCGCCGCAAAGGTCACCAGATCCGCCGCTTCCCGCAGCGCGTGCCGGCGCGTCGCCAGCGAGATCCGCCGCCGACCAGGA